TTAAAAAAATCATTAACTTTCCCAGCCTTGTAAATAAAAAACATTTTTTTTCATTAATCGTATTATATTAAAATGATACTAGGTATAATATTATTATGTAAAACTTTCTTTTAGTTTTCATCTATAGGTATTGTCTTCAATTTTTATATTATGTTAAACCGTTTTTAAGATGGCAAAACTATAACATTAAGACGATTATATATTAAGATTTTGTGGTTTGAATAACATTATTGATTGTCTTATACAATTATCCAGCAACTTTGAATTTACCAATCTAATTTATTAAAAGTACTGGTGTAGTATATTCAAAAAAAAATAAATTAACCACCAATAAATCTATCTTATTGAGAAAAACTAAATATCAGTTRTAAAAGTTAAAAATTAAAATATTGCGAAAATTTATTTATTAGAATAAGCCAAATAAGAAGATTATAAAAAAGTTAAAGAAAAATTTAAATGTTAAAAATGTATGATTTTATATTAACTTATATTAAGTGAAATACTTTTTAAACATAGAAATTATGTTTTATTTCTGTAGTTAATATATTCCTAACTATAAAACCGATGATATTATTTTCATAACATATTTATAAAAATCGTTTTATCATTTTTTTAATATAAATACATTTTTTGATACTTTTATTCACYTTTGTCGTATAATAATAAACACAAATAACTGTTTTAATCGATCGATTTATTATTATTTTTGAAGTCCAATTGTCCACTTGTCTAAATATCGTGTCATATTATCGCATATTATGTTCTTTATAGCCGTTATTACCTATACATTTTTGTTATAAAGTTAAAAATTATAAAGTTTGTGTATCCATATTTTTTACACATGCGTCGTATTCAGTCTCTTAAATTATCTAAAAGGATTAAGGTTGGTTTTTTTTAACAGGTTCACATTTCTGTCGGGGAACATTTGATGGATGGCTTTGCTGGGCAGATACTGAAGCCGGAGTCACCGTTCACCAACCATGTCCAGAATTCATTTCTGGATTTGATCCAACAAGTGAGTTTCATTTGTTGACTTTAAACACTTGCACATTTGTTTAAAGATCATAACTTTTTTTCAATTACGATAAAGATAACAGTATTCTTTTATTTATATAAT